AACTTACAAACATGTCTTAAATGTTCTTCTTTTATGATGCTAAAATGATAGAACAGATTCTCTGTTTAGATTGGTGAACTTGATCCTTGTTGTGTGGGGATAGTTTGATGCTTGTTATAAACAATTATGAGAAAGCATTATTTCTGAAAAGACAATTTCTGGTGGCACTGTGTTCAGTGAATGTTGCTAATCTTCATGCTGATGTATGTAAAGTTTGCATGCAGAAGATAATAGCATAAAAGGACATTTAGATCATAGACTAAAGTGCATTAGAGTATACACATGCAAGCACTACTTCATTTATATGAATAAAGTTCAAATCAGCCATTTTTCCTATTGGCTCCAACAACTAAAAAAATCAGGTTTTAATTTCAAAAGGTATCAGTATTACTCTGGTAAGACTAGAGAATGACAAGTGTTTCCTCCCTCATTCAGATACACTTTAATTGTTAAGAATCCTGATTTAGGCCAGGTGCAGTGGCTCTCGCCTGTAATCCCGGCACTTTGGGAGGCTGAGGCGGGCAGATCACGAGGTGAGGAGTTCGAGACCAGCCTGGCCAACATAGCAAAACTCCTAAATCGAAACCCCTAACTCTCTACTAAAAATACAAAAATTAGCGGGGCATTGTGGTGCGCACCTGCAGCCCCAGCTACTAAGGAGGCTGAGACAGGAGAATCGCTTGAAACCAGGAGGCAGAGGTTGTGGTGAGCCAAGATCATGCCACTGCACTCCATCCAGCCTGGGCAACAGAGCGAGACTCCATCTCAAAAAACAAAATCCTGGTTTAGGAACAGCCATGTTGGGAGTGAACTCAAGGCACGTCATCCGGTCTTGAAGCAACTGGAAGTGTGCCAGCAGGGGAATCTTTCAAGTCTCAATTAAGTGCCATGAAACTAAGTGGTTATTCATCTATTTATACATTTTTAAAAAGAAAGTAACCATTTTAGCCTAGAAATTGGTATCAAGGACAATAATTAATGAAAGAACAAGAGAAAATAATAACAAAAAGTATCATTTTGAGGTATGTCATGGCATTTAAAAATACCGTAAAAATCCAAGTCAAGGCACCAAAAACAAACACAAAAACAAAACAGTAAAATAGATGGAGCCTTTCCATATACAATGAGATTCTATCAAGCTTCATTGTGATAACTTACAGAAGAAACTTTTATGAAGTTCAGTTCTTTACTTCTGATATTTAGATTTTACCTTTAGAACTAAAACAATGCGCCGGGCGCGGTGGCTCAAGCCTGTAATCCCAGCACTTTGGGAGGCCGAGGCGGGTGGATCACGAGGTCAAGAGATCGAGACCATCCTGGTCAACATGGTGAAACCCCGT